GCACTGCCGTCGAGATTTTCCCACCAAGCGAGAAGATCTGTGCTGCCGTCGGCGGTGGCGACGACATCGGGGTCACCGTCGCGATCCAAGTCCACCACCGCCACGGAGGAGCTGTGGGCCACGGAGGCGTCGACGGCGGCTCTGACCCAATTGGAGCCGTCGCCCAAGGTATTGCTCCACCATTCCACGGAGCCGGTGCCTCCACCGAGACCCGCAATCAAATCAACCGTGCCGTCGAGGTTTAGGTCGGCGACAGCCAGACCGCGGCCCACGACCGAGCCGTCGATCGTCGAGGCGCTCCAGGTCGAGGCGTCACCGCTCGAATTTTGCCACCAGCATAGACCGTCGGTGGGGGACACCGCTGCCAGGTCGGGGTCGCCATCGGCGTCTAGATCTCGGACGATGAGCTGCTGCCAATCGCTGGTGCCCGCGTCGATTGTGATTCCCGCCTGGGAGCTGGGCCACCACCGGAGCCCCCCGGGACCGACACCGATCACGTCGTCCGAGCCGTCTTGGTCGAGGTCCGCCACCACCAGAGCTGCTAAATCCTGAACCGATCCGTCGAGGGTTTGGGCCATACCCCACGGCAGATTCGCCGCCGAGCTCTGCCCGGGCAGGGAAGTCAAAGCGAGCAGGAATAAGGCGGTGGGATAAAGCGAAGATTTCGGCGGGGCCTGCGACGAGTTTCGGGCTCGGTGGCATGGAGACATGGAGCGGCTCCTCAATGATGGCGGTCGTCGTGGTCTGTCGGACAGGCGATAAGATAAACCGTGAGTATTACGACCTGCATTATTGCTGGGAGCCGAGCTCAGAGCCGTCGTACCATCACCAAATGGGGGCCCAACCCGGGAAGATCGAAGATCTCCCCTTCGGCCTCGAAGCCGAATCGGCCGTAGAAGCCTTCCACGGTGGTTCGTCCGTTGCACCAGACCTCCTGCCCACCCCGCTCGCGGGCGTGCTCGACCAACGCTTCCAGCACCTTGCCGCCGAATCCGGAGCCCTGATGAG